GCTGCAACAAGGCAGTCATAGAGTAATCAGATGAAGGAGTAGAAACGAGCCTGTTGGAGGGGGCACATAGGAGGGGGGCGGGGCAGTGAGCGGGAGATGGGAGGGGGGAGGCGCAAGGGCCATATGGGAGAAGCGCGGCGCAGGTAGTGGGAGATGGGGAGGCCACATTGCAAGAAAGGAGAGAGTGCAGCTGCGACGAGGGTTTTTCTGAGTTTGGTGGTTGTGAGATTTTCCTTTTGCTTAAGAGTTTTTCACAGGTTTGCAGCTACTCCACGATGAACATTGATCCCTGGGAGTGGGAGATGGGGCCACATTGCACGAAAGGAGGGAGAGCAGCAGCGACGAGGCAGTCATGGAGCGTCCAGATGAATGTGTAGAAACGAGCCTGAGAGGTTTCGTCACGTGGGAGGAGGGGAGAGGGGGGTGGGGAGAGAATGTGCAATAAGGCAGTCAGAACGTCCAAATGAAGGTGTAGAAGTGAGCCCGGTAAATGATTGATTAGAGGGGGGGTGAGAGTAGAGGTATTACCGTCAGCCATGCCGCAAGGGGGACATGGGACGTCTCAAAAATGATTGATTAGAGGGGGGGTGAGAGTAGAGGTATTACGAGTGTTGAGGGGGACGGAGGGGAGAGAGGAGGTGGAAGTCAGATTGCACCACGCTGCAGTGTACTGCTGCCGCATCGCACCACGCTGCAGTGTACTGCTGCCGCATCGCACCACGCTGCAGTGTACTGCTGCCGCATCGCACCACACTGCATCACGCACCCCACGTCCTGGATGCCAAACACCTTTGTATCAATTGCTCCTTGTGTGCTCACAGCCCACATCGCACCACGCTGCACCAAACCACACTGCACCGCATAGCACCGCACTCACCCCAACATCTTGGATGTCAAACACAATGGTATCGATTTCTCCCTGTGTGTTCACAACCCCCAATCGCACCAAACTGCACCGTACCACACTGCACAATACCGCACTGCACCACATCACACTCACCCCAACGTCCTGGATGTCAAACACAATGGTATCAGCGCCCGAGGCTTCAAAACACTTGGCTATGGCTGGGGGATCCTGACATGCAAACAAACACAAACGGACACCGCACAGAAGGAGGGATAGGTGCAAGGTGAGCTTAGCGGAGAAAGACCCAAAAAAAAAAAAAAAAAAAAAAAAAGGAAAATAATAAGTCCAGCATGGTATATCAGCAACGCCAGAGGCTTCAAAGCACCTGGCACTCTGACTGGCCTGCTCTCTACTCTACCTGCTCTCTACTCTACCTTCTCTCTACTCTACCTCTGCTGGCGGTGCTGCCCTCTACTCTACCTACTCCCAGCCTGCACCTCTTCTCCTCCCCATCTGCTTGATGCGAGTTGGTTTTTGAGAATTCTCAAAAGCCACTCTGACTGGCCTGCTCTCTACTCTACCTGCTCTCTACTCTACCTACTCCCAGCCTGCACCTCTTCTCCTCCCCTCTTTCCCATCTGCTTTCCCAACCCCTGGCTCACCTGCAATCCTGCCTCCCCTCCCTGCTTCCCCACCTTGCCATAGAGATCGAATATGGGAAGACCAGTCTTGGGATCTTTGGATGCGGATTCTGACTTGCCTGCCTGCATGGGAGAGTGGGGGCGGAATGATCACAGGGGGGTGAGGAAGAAGAGGAGGAAGGTAAGGGGAATGGGATGGGAAGATCCAGGGCGAGATAGGGAGGGACGAAACGAATCGATGAGATTGTTTTAGGCGGACTCCAACATGCCTGTCCGTGTGACTTTTGAGACGTCTCAAAAGTGGACTCCAACATGCCTGTCCTGTCCTGTCCTGTCCTGTCCTGTCCTGTCCTGTCCTGTCCGTGTGACTTTTGAGACGTCTCAAAAGTGGACTCTGACATGCCTGTCCTGTCCTGTCCGCGTGACTTTTGAGACGTCTCAAAAGTGGACTCTGACATGCCTGTCCGCATGGACGGGTGGGGGTGGAAGGATCACCAGCGGAGGAAGGAGAGGATGAAGGTGGGGGGAACATGAGGGACAAAGGAAAAAATTGGGGCGATAATCATTGTTGGGATTGTTTGAGACGGACTCTGACGTGCCTGCCTGCATGGGCGGGTGAGGTGGGTCGGTGGGTGGGTGGGAGGGATGACAGGGGGAATGGAGGAGAGGAGAGGAGGAATGCAGGAGGAATGGGCGGGTCAAGGGAGTGATGAGAAGAACAATGCCATGCAGGCATTGTTGGGCTCGCTTGGCAGGAGAGGAGGAAGCAGGAATCTGACTTGCTTGCCTGCCTGCCTGCCTGCATGCATGGCACAGTAAGAGAAGCGACTGGAGGGAGGAACGAGGAAGACGATTAAGAAGTCAAGGGGGAGGGGACAAACACGAAGTCGAGTTTTGAGTCGACTCATTAGGTGACAAACACGAGCTCATTACACAGGAAGGCCATTCCGCGTGCATTGAGGTCGTTTTTGAAGCCCTCAAAAACGACCTCAAGTCGAGTTTTGAGTCGACTCATTACACAACAAGGCCATTCCGCAGCTGTTTTTCCACCCCGCTGACCAGTTCAGGCTCCCAGCCCGCGCCTACACACCACCTGGGTACCAAGCAACTGTCTCACTACGCCGTGCCTCTGATCTGAACCCATGCTCGGGCTCAAACATGGCCACTAGGTGGACGGGGTGTTTTCAAACCCCTCTTACGGCAAGAACCACCCAGTTAATGGGGACAATCCGTGCCCACACACCACCTTGGAGCAGCAACCGTCTCACCTGCGCCGTGCCTCTGAACCCGTGCTCGGGCCCAAACATGGCCACCACATGGAAGGGCGGTTGGGATGGGGAAGTCGTGTAACAGTGCATGGCATCCGCCTGTGTGTGGGCGGGATGGGGGGTGCGGGTGGGAGAAGCTTGGAGAGATGTGGGGAAGATGGGAAGGACCAGGCACAGGGCAAGTGATGGCACAGGGCAAGTGATGGCACAGGGCAAGTGAAGGCACAGGGCAAGTGATGGCACAGGGCAAGTGATGGCACAGGGCAAGTGATGGCACAGGGCAAGTGATGGCACAGGGCAAGTGATGGCACAGGGCAAGTGATGGCACAGGGCAAGTGATGGCACAGGGCAAGTGATGGCACAGGGCAAGTGATGGCACAGGGCAAGTGATGGCACAGGGCAAGTGATGGCACAGGGCAAGTGATGGCACAGGGCAAGTGATGGCACAGGGCAAGTGATGGCACAGGGCAAGTGATGGCACAGGGCAAGTGATGGCACAGGGCAAGTGATGGCACAGGGCAAGTGATGGCACAGGGCAAGTGATGGCACAGGGCAAGTGATGGCACAGGGCAAGTGATGGCACAGGGCAAGTGATGGCACAGGGCAAGTGATGGCACAGGGCAAGTGATGGCACAGGGCAAGTGATGGCACAGGGCAAGTGATGGCACAGGGCAAGTGATGGCACAGGGCAAGTGATGGCACAGGGCAAGTGATGGCACAGGGCAAGTGATGGCACAGGGCAAGTGATGGCACAGGGCAAGTGATGGCACAGGGCAAGTGATGGCACAGGGCAAGTGATGGCACAGGGCAAGTGATGGCACAGGGCAAGTGATGGCACAGGGCAAGTGATGGCACAGGGCAAGTGATGGCACAGGGCAAGTGATGGCACAGGGCAAGTGATGGCACAGGGCAAGTGATGGCACAGGGCAAGTGATGGCACAGGGCAAGTGATGGCACAGGGCAAGTGATGGCACAGGGCAAGTGATGGCACAGGGCAAGTGATGGCACAGGGCAAGTGATGGAACAGGGCAAGTGATGGCACAGGGCAAGTGATGGCACAGGGCAAGTGATGGCACAGGGCAAGTGATGGCACAGGGCAAGTGATGGCACAGGGCAAGTGATGGCACAGGGCAAGTGATGGCACAGGGCAAGTGATGGCACAGGGCAAGTGATGGCACAGGGCAAGTGATGGCACAGGGCAAGTGATGGCACAGGGCAAGTGATGGCACAGGGCAAGTGATGGCACAGGGCAAGTGATGGCACAGGGCAAGTGATGGCACAGGGCAAGTGATGGCACAGGGCAAGTGATGGCACAGGGCAAGTGATGGCACAGGGCAAGTGATGGCACAGGGCAAGTGATGGCACAGGGCAAGTGATGGCACAGGGCAAGTGATGGCACAGGGCAAGTGATGGCACAGGGCAAGTGATGGCACAGGGCAAGTGATGGCACAGGGCAAGTGATGGCACAGGGCAAGTGATGGCACAGGGCAAGTGATGGCACAGGGCAAGTGATGGCACAGGGCAAGTGATGGCACAGGGCAAGTGATGGCACAGGGCAAGTGATGGCACAGGGCAAGTGATGGCACAGGGCAAGTGATGGCACAGGGCAAGTGATGGCACAGGGCAAGTGATGGCACAGGGCAAGTGATGGCACAGGGCAAGTGATGGCACAGGGCAAGTGATGGCACAGGGCAAGTGATGGCACAGGGCAAGTGATGGCACAGGGCAAGTGATGGCACAGGGCAAGTGATGGCACAGGGCAAGTGATGGCACAGGGCAAGTGATGGCACAGGGCAAGTGATGGCACAGGGCAAGTGATGGCACAGGGCAAGTGATGGCACAGGGCAAGTGATGGCACAGGGCAAGTGATGGCACAGGGCAAGTGATGGCACAGGGCAAGTGATGGCACAGGGCAAGTGATGGCACAGGGCAAGTGATGGCACAGGGCAAGTGATGGCACAGGGCAAGTGATGGCACAGGGCAAGTGATGGCACAGGGCAAGTGATGGCACAGGGCAAGTGATGGCACAGGGCAAGTGATGGCACAGGGCAAGTGATGGCACAGGGCAAGTGATGGCACAGGGCAAGTGATGGCACAGGGCAAGTGATGGCACAGGGCAAGTGATGGCACAGGGCAAGTGATGGCACAGGGCAAGTGATGGCACAGGGCAAGTGATGGCACAGGGCAAGTGATGGCACAGGGCAATTTGAGTGAAAGAAGAGTAGCAGCATTGTGATTGCGTTGCTACAGCATGGCATGCAACAGCATTGCGACGGCGTTGGTACAGCATCGTTCCAGCAGTGCGTGAGACTCACCAGATGGGTGAGATCTCGAAGGACTGACGTGGCATTGGCAATCAGCCCGACCTGAGAGGGGGGATGGAGGAAGGGCGGGATGGGTGAAGGCAGCGGATGGGTAAGGGAAGGGGAGAGATCCCGAAGCACCGACGTGGCATTGGCAATCAGCCCGGCCTGCCGGAGCGAACGAGGAGGGAAAAAGGGGAAGGGGGAAGGGGGCGGAGAGAAGGGGGGGAATAGAGGAAAAGGGGATGGTTGAGGGAGGGGGATGAACATGGAAGTGTATGGGAGAGGGAAGAAGAGAGATCTCAATGGGGCAAGACGCCCGTCTTGGAAGGGCGCGTTTTTTGAGACGTCTCAAAAGGAAGGGGATGAAGATGGAAGTGTATGAAGGAAGAGCAGAGATCTCAATGGGGCAAGACTTTTGAGGCGCCTCAAAAGTCGTCTTCATGAGCACAGATCCGTGGGACTTCGAAGGAAGAGCAGAGATCTCAATGGGGCAAGACTTTTGAGGCGCCTCAAAAGTCGTCTTCATGAGCACAGATCCGTGGGACTTCGAAGGAAGAGCAGAGATCTCAATGGGGCAAGACTTTTGAGGCGCCTCAAAAGTCGTCTTCATGAGCACAGATCCGTGGGACTTCGAAGGAAGAGCAGAGATCTCAATGGGGCAAGACTTTTGAGGCGCCTCAAAAGTCGTCTTCATGAGCACAGATCCGTGGGACTTCGAAGGAAGAGCAGAGATCTCAATGGGGCAAGACTTTTGAGGCGCCTCAAAAGTCGTCTTCATGAGCACAGATCCGTGGGACTTCGAAGGAAGAGCAGAGATCTCAATGGGGCAAGACTTTTGAGGCGCCTCAAAAGTCGTCTTCATGAGCACAGATCCGTGGGACTTCGAAGGAAGAGCAGAGATCTCAATGGGGCAAGACTTTTGAGGCGCCTCAAAAGTCGTCTTCATGAGCACAGATCCGTGGGACTTCGAAGGAAGAGCAGAGATCTCAATGGGGCAAGACTTTTGAGGCGCCTCAAAAGTCGTCTTCATGAGCACAGATCCGTGGGACTTCGAAGGAAGAGCAGAGATCTCAATGGGGCAAGACTTTTGAGGCGCCTCAAAAGTCGTCTTCATGAGCACAGATCCGTGGGACTTCGAAGGAAGAGCAGAGATCTCAATGGGGCAAGACTTTTGAGGCGCCTCAAAAGTCGTCTTCATGAGCACAGATCCGTGGGACTTCGAAGGAAGAGCAGAGATCTCAATGGGGCAAGACTTTTGAGGCGCCTCAAAAGTCGTCTTCATGAGCACAGATCCGTGGGACTTCGAAGGAAGAGCAGAGATCTCAATGGGGCAAGACTTTTGAGGCGCCTCAAAAGTCGTCTTCATGAGCACAGATCCGTGGGACTTCGAAGGAAGAGCAGAGATCTCAATGGGGTAAGACTTTTGAGGCGCCTCAAAAGTCGTCTTCATGAGCACAGATCCGTGGGACTTCGAAGGAAGAGCAGAGATCTCAATGGGGTAAGACTTTTGAGGCGCCTCAAAAGTCGTCTTCATGAGCACAGATCCGTGGGACTTCGAAGAAAGAGCAGAGATCTCAATGGGGCAAGACTTTTGAGGCGCCTCAAAAGTCGTCTTCATTAGCACAGATCCGTGGGACTTCGAAGGAAGAGCAGAGATCTCAATGGGGTAAGACTTTTGAGGCGCCTCAAAAGTCGTCTTCATGAGCACAGATCCGTGGGACTTCGAAGGAAGAGCAGAGATCTCAATGGGGCAAGACTTTTGAGGCGCCTCAAAAGTCGTCTTCATGAGCACAGATCCGTGGGACTTCGAAGGAAGAGCAGAGATCTCAATGGGGTAAGACTTTTGAGGCGCCTCAAAAGTCGTCTTCATGAGCACAGATCCGTGGGACTTCGAAGGAAGAGCAGAGATCTCAATGGGGCAAGACGGGCGAAGGGCGCGACTGGGAATGATTTTTGAGACGTCTCGAAGAGCAGAGATCTCAATGGGGCAAGACGGGCGAAGGGCGCGACTGGGAACGGCGCGACGGGAAGGGCTGGACGGGGAAGGGCGAATGACCCCCCCTGCCGCACGAGCGCATGATCTCCCCTGCCGCACGAGCGCATGACCCCCCCTGCCGCACGAGCGCATGATCTCCCCTGCCGCACGAGCGCATGACCCCCCCTGCCGCACGAGCGCATGATCTCCCCTGCCGCACGAGCGCATGACCCCCCCTGCCGCTCGAGCGCATGATCCCCCCTACCCCACGCACCTTGCTCCCTCGCAGCCGCGCGAACGACTCGGCGCGCAGCACGTCGCAGCCCGTAAGGATGCCGCCATGGCTGCTGCCGCGCGCCGCCTCGTTTTGCCGCCCATCGCGGCGCGACGCGCCCTGCCCCATCACAAATGCTCGAAATAACTACTTTGCTTCCTCGACTCCCTTCAGTTAAAAGCCCTATCGCAAATGCCCCCTGGCACATAACAGATGCTCCAGCCTATCCCGCCTCCGCCACTAACCGAGAGCGGCCACGACTGAGAGCGTGACGCGTTGGCGATTCCTCTAAAGGAGTGGCAAAATGAAGAGGTCGGGTAAAAGGAATTTGTACGCGATATGGTAAGTGGACGAGACAATAGACAAAAGAGAACATCCTGATTCTAGTTCGGCCAAGAAATAGAGAGCATGATTATTGATTGTTTTAGGAACATATGTTAGCAGAGTCCCATGTTGAGTGAAATCCAATTAGCATCCAATTTTCCGCTCAAGAATGCTAAGGAAATTGCCAATTGCCTAAGAATAAAGGCAAAATTCCGCCGCCATCACCTGAAGTAAAATACGCATAGAAATTGAATATAGCAAACCCAACGCATTTGCTCTTTACCTGTATACGCAAGCGGGGTGGTTACAACAGGTGAAGGACCCACTTCCACACATTCACCAACAAGCCAAGCGCGTTTAGTGGCGTGGCGATAGCGACAGAAATTATTCGTCGCTCAGCAACGGATGTATCCATCGTTAGCACACCACCCACACAGCAAAGAAATGTTTCGCGATGAATCGCCACCGCCATGTCTACGACACGCTTCGCCACTCACCAGGCCGTACACACAAGTGGTCTGCGACTGCGAGACATCAACTGAGGGAACGTTCTTGGCCGGTGTCAAGCTTCCTGACACAAGGCTACTGACGGCTGCGATCGCTCCACATCATCCTCAATCGAATCGAGACCCTTCACAGCTTCGTGTCAGCCTGCCTGACACCGGCCAGGAACGTTCCCTAAGGTGGAGGTGGGTGGAGAGGAGAGGAGAGCAGGCCTGCCAAATCACGGAAATTTGTCCGTTTTCCCTGAGAATTCAGGGTTAGTTTAATCTCGTCTCAGTGATTTTCGAGGTTTGTTTTTCCCCTGGCCCAGATTCCTAATGGACAGCATGGGGGCATTTTTCCCATCGGGTCGAAACAGTTATTCTGCAACTAGCTGATACGAAATTCCTCCTTCGTACAAAGTGGGAAGGGTGGAACTCCCTGGGATTGGGGATCCCTGACAGGGGTGAAAACAAAATAGAAACAATATAGAAGATGTTTATATAATAAAATACCTTCTAATAGCTTTGATTTCGACAGTAGAACATTGGTATTGCGGGGCTGTTTAGAATATTATCCGTCACGTACTTGTACCATTTAAATTAGATCGCATTCTTTAGCATAGCATACCGTCATTATGAGGTTCCTGGCTATAAGATCTTGTTCGTAGTTTTGACACCAACTGCTTATGCGTGTCAACCCGAGTCGGCCCAGTTCTTGGTGTCAATCACTCTAGCAGCGGGTTCAACCCGAGTCGCGCCGAAGGAAACGTGCGACGAAGCCTCATTGGTGGGACACGAAATATCTGTTATTGTGCGTTTACATGAACGAGCCAAACTGTCAGTGCAACCCAACACCAACGTGTTGGATGGGGATTTGTGGACCATCGCAAAGGCAGGTTTTGCAGATTTTTGATTGAGTAAGAGCAAATCGTGAGATGCATCAATGCGATGGTTTTGGTTGGATGGTGTGCCTTGCGACTCTAGGCGAGCGGGCTATCCGCTCGCCAACAATGAGCGATTTTTTGACACCAACCAACAATGTATGCTCGTGTCAAAATTCCAAAATGACACTGGTGTCAAAACTACGAACAAGCCCTAATTCCATGCCTGATCCACGAACCGGTGAATTCATTCGTGAAGTGCTCCCCCACAAATACGTCACTGAATGGAGAGGTAAATGTTATAATAGAAACAATCTGAAGGGTATAGAAGAATCTTCGGATATAGATAAACAACGTCATTATAATACCTCGTTAAAGCTTAGTTTTCGTCAGGAGAACCTTCTTATAGCGGAGTCGTTTAGAAGATTATCCGTCACGTACTTGTACCCGTTAAATTACACCTCGTTTGAAAGAATAGCCCACGGCCCTGGCTGTGATTCCGCTGCAAGCACCACCGTGCCTGATCACGAACCTGTGAAATGTTTGTAGTGCTCCTCCACAAATACGTCACTTGAGTGGGAAACTCCTGGAAGAGGGAAAACTTCATGTGTAATTAGAAGGGTGTGGAAGAATCTTCGGATGGAGTTTGGAGCCTTTCCCGGATTTTCTGCACCTGCTCCTCCCCAACTTCCCTCACCTTTCCCCCCATTTTGACCATAGACCATGAACGCGCCCGAAAGCCTCATCCGAAAAAGGTCGTCGGAGCGGTTTTGCCTGTGTCGACAGGAGGGGTCGTCGGAGCCGGGTCTGACGAGGCGGGCGACTGACGCGCGTGCGGGCCCGCCAGCCTGGCCCAAAGCTGGGCCGAGCGCACGACCGCCGCCCCGCAGCCCCGCTCCGAACGTGAACAGCGACCCACGTTACCGGGTGGGGTCGGCGAACTGGCGACGCCTCGCGCGAGGGAATGTTACCCTCGCGCGAAGGCAGCCCACACGTGCCACCTGCCCGCGAGGTCCTAGTAACCCATCGCGGCCTGCCCGGACGGGCAGGCGAGGGCCGTGCGAAAATTCGGGGGCCCCTCGGGACACTCGACAATTTCGCGACCCGTTGCGGTGCCGCCACGTGTTCGCCCGTGGCTTCGCATCGGGCGCATGCGAAATTTCACACGCTGCGAAATCAAAAACCTCTCGCATCGGGTTCCGCTGCAAAATCGACACGTGTCGGCCGTAGCGTCGCTCCGCGCGCATGCGAGGTGTGCGTCCCCTTGCCGACCTCGGCCAATGGACGCAAAGTCGACGCCCTGCCAAGGCGGAGACGGGCCACCCGTGCCACTTGCGCATGCGCCCTCCGAGCCCTGCCGAGACAGGCCCCACACCCTTGGGCGATGCTGAACGGGCCTGGGGTGGGGCACCACCTCCATTTCTTGCTGGAAGGTGGCTTCGCTCCTCATTTTCCGCATCCCGTTTCGATTTCAGACCTTGACAGCTCTGCGCCTCCCCTCTCTCCTACCTTAGCCGTCCGCGTCCTTTGTTAGTCGATAGATATGGAGCCGACCCCCGACGCCGATAAGTCGGCGCCGACTTCGGCTGACTTTCCCCTTCGTGTGCGAATGGGTCGCGGTCTCAACTTCACCTTCGAGTGGAACGACTTCGCCGTCCTTCGCGACCATAGGAGAGAGTTCACCGAGAGATGCTTGGGACTCGGCATCAGGTGGGACTCGGGTAGTCGCGGTGGTTGGATAGTGTCGATGTCGGCGCCGACTAACTCTAGCTTCGTTGGAAGTCGCATTGTCGCTGTTTTGTCAGAATAACTGAGCAGGAATGGGATGAACTAGCACAGAGTTTGGTACAAGTAGGAAACCCTAACTTTGAGTACCCCCTAAGGTGTAACCCACTACAGCCTACATAATATAAACATGCAATGTTTGACACACCCCCATAGGCGCAGTGGGAGACAACCACAGGGTCACAAGACCAGTCAAAGCAAAGCAAAGCAAGCTCAGGGTGGATCTCAAGGATTCCACACAAATTCCGAGCACAAGCAAGCGGTCACAAGACCAGTTCACATGCAGGTTTATAACAAAGCAAGAGATACAGTGATCACAACCTAGCAAAAGTAAACAAGTAGGCATATATATATAGTGATCACAGTACAAGCAAGGTCAAGAGGTAAGCAAGTGAGGCCCAGTAGGTACAAGGCCTAGCAGCGTGCAAAAGCGCTGATGGTCACAAGGCTGAAGCGCCTTGGTGAACACATCAGCAGTGTTGGCCTCCGTGGCCACGTAACGCAGACAAAGCTGACCACGCTGCTGCAGCTCTCGAGCAAGGAAGTACCGCAGAGCGATGTGCTTCGTTCTGTGCTCCAGTCTGTGCTCCTCACACAAGGCAATGGCAGCCTTGTTGTCGACGTACAGCACTGGAGGAGAACGAGGCCGCTCTCCGAGGTCGGTCAGCAGGTAGGTCAGCCAGCGTAGCTCCTGAGCAGCCATGGCTGTGGCGTAGATCTCAGCCTCACAACTGGAGCTGAGAACAGAAGAAGAGCGAGTAGAACGCCAAGAAACTGAGCCAGAGCCAAGGCTGAAGGTGTAACCCTGGGACGACCGCTGAGTAGCCTGGTCGTCTGCCCAAGAAGCGTCTGAGTGCCCTGTGAGAACAACCCGGTCTCGCCCTCCAAGCACAAGCCCCATGCCCGACGTACTGCACAAGTAGCGCAACACCCTCTTAGCAGCATCCATGTGCTCCTTCCGGTGACGGCCAGGAGCGACATAGCGTGCTAGGATGCTAAGAGGGTATGCAAGGTCAGGTCGAGTGCAGGTCATCAGGTACATGAGGCAGCCCACAAGCTCTGGATACGGGCCACTCGGCTCTACGGACTCATCCGAAGGCAGAGCTGAGAGCGAGTGACCGGTAGGCAGAGGAGTGGACTGAGGCGAGGAGTACGTGAAGCGGAAGCGCTGGAGAACCTGCTGCACCATGTGTGACTGAGTCAGGGTGATGGTGCGCCGTGCTCTGTCCCGGGTGATCCGCAAGCCAAGATAGCTCGTCAGCTCACCCAGGTCTGTGCACGTGTGTCTCCTCTGCAGCTCCGACTTCACGTGAGCGAGTGCCGCGGTGTCAGCAGTGGCAAAGACCAAGTCGTCGACGTACACGAGGATGTAGAACGGCGGCAGCGAGGTGTCGGTGCGTAGAAACAGCGACGGGTCAGCAGTAGAGGGAGCGAACCCAAGAGCCGCAAGTGTCGTCCTCAGTGTGTCGTGCCACTCAC